TGCAAGTGTCCAAGGCCAGGTTGGATGGGGCTTGGAGCAACCTGGGCTGGTGGAAGGTGTCCCTGCCCATGGGGGATGTCGGACTGGATAAGCTTTAAGGTCCCTTCCAACCCAAACCATCCTGTGATTCTCCGAATTAAGTCCCTCATTGTGACACTCAGTTATCAGCTCTGATACCACCAACTGTCTCGGGAGCCTTTGAAAAACCCTCCTCTTGCTCCTCTGAGTGGTGGTGACGCCGCAGGGGAAGGACTCAGGTGGTGGCTTTGAAACCCTCTGGCTCTGCCCCCTTTGCACAAGAGCTGTGGTCACTGTTGTGCAACCTGCTGGTGCTGGTGCTGTGCCAGTGCTGTGCCAGTGCTGTGCCAGCGCTGTACTGGTGCTGTGCTGGTGCTGTACTGGTGCTGTGCTGGTGCTGTACTGGTGCTGTGCTGGTGCTGTGCCGGTGCTGTGCCGGTGTTGGCAGCTCAGGAGATCCTCTGCTCCTGTCTCAAACACAGAAAGGGGTGGGCTGGGGGCACCTCCTGGGTCTCTTGGGTCAGGGTCCCCTTGAAGGCCAGGGGAGGTTGCTCAGGGTCTTACTCAAGTGAGCTCTGTCTCCAAGGATGCAGATCCCACCTCTATTCCAGGCCCCATCCCACCACTGCACCACCCTCACGGGGGTTTTTCTTGGGAATTTTCTGGCAGCACCACGTGCCATTGGCTCTTGTCCCATCCCTGTGCACCCTGAGCAGCCCCTGGCTCTGCCTGCAGCCCTCCCAGGAGGCAGCCAAAGCCAGTGGTGAGGCTCTCAGAGCCTTCTCCTTCCAGGCTGACCAAACCCAGCTTTCTCCTGCCTCCTGGGCTCCAGGTGGATTCCCTCTAGTTTGTCAAAACCAGTCTTAGATTGGAGGTCTGCAAACACCTGGGACCCACCACAAGATTTGCAGTTTGCTTTGCTGGTTTTCTTTAAAACATTGTTGAAGGACCAGGACCAGTGGCAGTGCAAGGCTGCACCTGCAAGGAACCCAGCTTTGGGGACAGGGATGATGGAGCCTGGCTTTGGGGCTTGGAATGGTTGAGTCCAGTTTAGGAGACAGGGATGTTGAAGCCCACTTTGGGGGATAAGGATGGTGGAGCCCAGCTTTGGGATGCAGATGGTGGAGCCCATTTTGGGGCTGGGCATGGTGGAGCCCATTTTGGGGGAGAAGGGTGGTGGAGCCCAGCTTTGGGGACAGGGATGGTGGAGCCTGGCTTTGGGAACAGGGATGGTGGAGCCTGGCTTTGGGGACAGGGATGGTGGAGCCTGGCTTTGGGAACAGGAATGGTGGAGCCTAGTTTGGGGGATGAATTTGTCCATTTGCACTTGGACAGAGAAAGGAGCTTTGGCCACAGGGATCACTTCCCAGTGCAGCAGAAGTTTGGGAAAGGGTGAGACCCTGCCTGGGCTTCCCTGAGCTCCAGACCAACAGCTGGAGGTTGGTGACACCTGTTCAAACCATCACCCAGCTGCCTCCTCCTGCTGCAGGGACTTGCACAAGGAGCAGCATCCGCAGATCCCTCCAGACCACGGTGGACACGGAGCAGGAGGTGAGATGGGGAGTGCTGGGCAGCACAGGCACCCTTGGGATCTGGTATGGAAAGGAAGGATGAAGGGCACCACGGGGTAAGGAATCTTGTCCCTGTAAAACACCCCCAGAAGGACTCGACACTCTCAAGCCACAACAAAGTGCTGCCTCACGTCTCCCTCTGGAAAAAACACGGGGAAGCTCCACTGGAGCTGGGTGTGCAGTGGGGTGCAGAGGGGCCACCCTGTCGTGGTGCTGGGGTGGGTGCTGTGCTGTCTTGGCCTCACACCTCGAGGGGGAGTTCCCCAAAGGCCGGGTCAGCCCCTGCAGATAACGCCGGGCAGATAAAAGCCTGGCACGGAGGGGCCGGGGGAGGGAGGACACGGCACATCACGGGTGAGAGCCTGCCCGGGGCACTTCTCTGGGCGTGGGGGGCTCGTTCCTGTGCCCTGGGTGGGGGGCTGGGGCTGGGTTTGGAGCGTCCAGCTGAGGTTTGTGATTCCCGCTGGCTCGGGGCTGGCAGAGCCGGGAGCACGGCAGGGATGTGGCTGGACCGCGCCGCTGCTGTGGCCAGGGGCTGCCCCGCGGGGAAAGGGTTTAGCTGGGCGTTGTAGGGTGGATTCTGGGCTGCCTTTGAGGCAGCTGCACGGCGGGGTCAGGCAATGAGCAGCAGGCTCAGCCCACAGCTCTGGTTGCTTTGGAGCAGCCTCGGGAGGTGAGTGCATCAGCTTTGGGCGAAAAACATCCCAAATTTCTGCGTGTGGAAGACCTGCCATGCTGCCCTGGCTGCTCCCTCTTCCCCTCCAGCTCTTCCAGCCCCCTGCATTCCCCGTGTTGCTGTCCAGCTCCCTGCCAAGCTGCACTGGCAGCGTGTTCTGCTCCCTTTTTGTTGCCCCCAAAGTCCCAAACAGGATGTTCCCAGCAGTGCTGGGAATCCCCAGGACAGGAGGCAGCTCCATGCTCCCTGCCTGGGAGGTCCTTGTAGTGCCACAGGGGGACCTGAGGTCCCCCCTGTGGCACTACAAGGACCTCCCAGACAGGACAACCCCTTGCACTGGGAAGGGGATGCCCCCTGAGCTCCCTTGGCATCCTCAGTGTGGGCATGGAAATTCCCATCCACCTGGCTCTTGGTCTTCTTCACTTCTTGCATTCCTTTGCAGGGATGAAGGCAGGAACCTTCCCGGGGTTGCTGGTGATCCTCAGCCTCTTCCAGGCACCTGTATCCTCTTCCCACGGTACTGTCCTTCCCTCAGGCTTTGCAGATCAGGGGAATTTCTGAGCAGGAAAGACAAAAGTTCAGCCTGGAAGAGCCTGAATGGCTCTACTGTGGCAGCACAGCCCTGAAGAGGTGTCAGAAGGAGCACAGTTTGTCCCTCCTGTGGCAGCAATCCTGGCTGCTTCAGGTTTTTACCAGTTCATGGCCTTCCTGGTTTCTTAAATCAGGTTAAAGGAGGTCAGCTCTCAGGTATGAGGGCCTCTATTCCTGCTCCCTGAGCTTCCAGGGCCTGGAAGTTTGGGGATGGGGCAGTCACTCCTCTCTTCCAGCCCTGGATCACTGCTCTAAAACATCTAGAGATCCCCACCTGTTAACTTAGAGTGTCAAGTCCTTATGGAAAGCACATGCTTGATCTTTCATTTGTCTCAAATAGTGGCTCAGACAATAATTTTTCTCATCGACATCATCCAAGAGATAAACTCTGGGCTGATCAGGGAAGATATTTTAAAAATTCTGGGGAGCTTTCGGAGATATTTATCTCCTCTGTGTGATTTTCCGACATCTTTTTTCTCCCTGGAAGCTGTAGGAAAGTGCTGTCCCTCAGAGAAGCCCACCAGGGCCTGTCCCCTCCTGTTCTGTGACCCACAGCCAGAAGATGATGGGGATGAAACTCATTTTTGGGAGCTCCCCCAGGCAGGAAGGGGAGTAGTGAGGGTGGCAGGAGGTTGCAGGAGGGACTGGAGAAAGCCATGAGGAAATTGGGTTGTTTATAGAATCACAGAATCATGGAATGGTTTGGGTTGGAAGGATATTAAAGCTCATCTCATCCCACCCCCTGCCATGGGCAGGGACACCTTCCACTAGCCCAGGTTGCTCCAAGCCCTGTCCAACCTGACCTTGGACACTTGCAGGGATGGGAAACAGCAGGAGGGAGCCTGCATCTCTCACTGTGGCTGTTAGAAGCCTCCTCTGGTGGAGACACCTCTTCATGCCCAGGAACAACTGTCAGACCCCTCTGAGGATTATATTTATACCCAGATCTCTTGAGAACGAGCAGCAACTGCCTCCAGCAGTGCTGTGCCCAGGCCCTGGGTGCTGGAGACACGAGCACAGGGTTCCTGACAGCGCCCTCAGCTCTGCCCTCCCTGTCCCCTGCCCAGATGTGCTGGAGGAGCTGTCGGACACGTCCCTGCTGAGCAGTGTGGCCGAGGCCAAGCGCCTGGTGGACGTCGCCTACAAGCGCACACGGGACCGGTGAGATTTGGGGCTGTGACCCCCGTGTGACCCCTGTGTGACCCCTGGGACCCCCGTGTGACCCCTGTGTGACCCCTGTGACACTCATGTGACCCCTCTGTGACCCCTGTGTGACTCCTGTGTAACCCCTATGACCCCCGTGTGACCCCTGTGTGACCCCTGCACTGCACCTTCACCGTCTCCTCCTCCCTGAGCACAGGTCCAGTGGGGTGAGGAGCTCTGGGAGCACAGAGTGCTGTGACCCAGGGTTTTCAGGCTCACCCTGGTTGTACACCCTGTCTCCGAGGCTGTTGGGGCACCAAGAGCTGTGACCTCCTCCCTGCAGGCTGTTCCTCCCAGCTCGGTGTTCACAGAATCACAGAATGGTTTGAGTTGAAGGGACCTTAAAGATCTTCTTGTTCCACCCCCCTGCCCTGGGCAGGGACACCTCCCACTAGCCCAGGTTGCTCCAAGCCCCGTCCAACCTGGCCTTGGACACTCCCAGGGATGGGGCAGCCACAGCTTCTCTGGGCAACCTGTGCCAGGGCCTCCTCACCCTCACAGCATCACCTGACGCTGTGCTGGGCTCTGTTCCACTCCTCAGAGGAGCTCTGAGGTGGTGCCAGGTGTTGATTTCAAGTGGTTCCCTCCATGGACACAGCAAAAGTTTGTAGTGAGGACACTTTGTGGGACTCCCAACCATGGTTTGGGAGTGTCCAGCTTCCCACCAGCCCGTAGCTGTCCTCCTCCTGCAGCCAGACTCTGAAACCCCTTGCTGGCTCAGGGACCCCTCCAGCTGACAGGAGGTTCCATCAGCTTTAAGACAGGGTGAGCTGGAGGCATTTGGGACCTTGGGATGGACACACCTGCAGATATGGATGGTCTGGATAACAGCTGAGTGAGCTTTGGGTGCCTCAAGGATCTAAAGACCTAAAATTTGCCTTCTGGCAGGTGGAGCTGGGCAATTTGAGAGATTCCCTTCCTGCAGCTCCCTCTGCTCCTCTGTCAGGGGTGCTGGGAGCAGCCCTGGCCTCTCCCAGTGACTTTGCCTTTGCAGTTCAGAGCAGGGACACACCAGGAGAGCTCGAATGTGGGACCTGCAGCACTCCTGGCCTTGCCCCAGGTCATGTTCTGTTTTCTTCTCCCTTGCAGCATCAAGCAGCGCCTGCAGGACGATGCCTTGAGCCCGGCAGAGCTCCTGAGATACTTCAAGCAGCCTGTGGGGGGGACCCGGGCGGCCGTGCGGGCGGCAGATTATGTGCAGACCACCCTGAGCCTCCTCAAGGAGAAGCTGAGATGGGCTGTGAGGGGGGACTTCAACGTCACAGGTGGGGATCTCCCTGTGCTGGGAGGAAGGCAGAGGAGGAAGACACCAGGCTTGGCCACTGGGGCTTTGTGGGGCCTGGGAGGAGGGAAGGAAAGCAGGTTGTGATGGACCGTGACTCAAACCTCTCCCACGTGGCTGCAGAGAGGCAAAGCTGAGTTCTTTATCTGTGCTCTCTTTCTATTTAAAAAAAAAATTGTTTAGGGGTTTGTCAGTTAATGGAAGTGTTTTGGGCACGTCCCTGGCTCTTTCTGCAATATAGAGGTTCATGGATCAATGGGTCAAAGCTTGAAGGACTTTGGTAGTTATTATTCTTCTGCTTGAGCTGGGAATGAGCAAAGCCAGAGATGTGACTCGAAGTAGTTCAACCTCAAGGAAGGCAGTTCTTCTGCCAGGCTTCAGCCAGCACTAAAGTCACTGCCAGACTGTGCTGCACCAGGGACAGGATGCTGGAGAAGGTCCAAATGGAGAATGGGGAGATGTGAGAGGACATTTCAACTGTGTCTGAGGGAGCAATGTCCTCCCTGAGGTGGAATCGTGGCTCCCTGGCCAGGCCAGTCTGCTGAGAGCAGGAGGCAGATTAGAGGCAGAAAGAGAAACAGCTCAGGGAGACACAGGGAGGGCTCCTGCCATAAAAGGTGAACTCACAGAGAGCATGGAATGGTTTGGGTTGGAAGGGATCTTAAAGATCATCTGTTTCCAACCCCTGCCATGGGCAGGGACACCTTCCACCAAGCCCTATCCAACCTGGCCTTGGGCACTTCCCCAGCATTCCAGTAAAGCACTGGCAGGCCAGGACACACCTCCTGGGGTGTCCCAGCATTGCTCCAGGATGGGGTGAGCTGGAAGAAGATGGCAGGGCTGGTGGTGCTCAGTTCCAGCCTCTCCATCCAGGAATGATGCTCCACAGACCTGCCAGGCCAGCTGGTTGCCACCTCTCAGCTACAAGCCCAGAGGCTCCTTAAACCATTCTGCGACCCAAACTGTTGGTGGCAGCAGTGACCAGGAAACCTGTGAGGGACTCAGGACTCGTTTGAGCAGCAATAGCAGAGAAGGAGCATCTCTGCTCTGGAGCCAGGCTGGGAGAGCTGGGGGTGTTCACCTCGAGAAGAGAAGGCTTCAGGGAGACCTGAGAGCCCCTTCCAGGGCCTAAAGGGGGCTTATGAAAGAGGGAGAGAGACTTTTTACCCTGGTAGACAGTGACAGGACAAGGAGGAATTAAATTTTAAACTAAAAAAGGAGAGATTTAGATAAGATGTTAGGAATAAATTGTTCCCTGTGAGGGTGGGGAGGCCCTGGCACAGGTTGCCCAGAGAAGCTGTGGCTGCCC